TCTTCCTTTTGAGGTGGTTGTTTCTGCTGGACAAAAAGCTAAGGAGGAGTTTTCTGAAAAAGGCTAGTAACCATAAATAGTTTATGCATTGAAGTTAATAGCCGGTTAAGATTATTGCTAGCAAGGTGTTATTCTTGTTAACTATAGATAGCAACATCTTTCTCATATCGTATCATACACATCACGTTTTAAGACCATACACAATGTCAAGCAGGTGATGTCGAGAATGAAAAGAGGAGCAAACTTGTTGAGTACTTGAGTGACCTAACTGGTGAAGGAAATATTGAGAGTATGCTTTCAGTTGAAATGGGTTTGAAGGAGCTTGCATCCTTAAAGGTGCTCCCCTTCCCCTCCTTTCCTCTCCCACCCAAAAGAAAATGAAGTGGTGCACTTTTGGAATTAAGATACTATGTTCACTCCACTAGTTTAATAATTTAGTTTACATGTTTTTGAAGGTTGAAGAAGCTATCGTGAATGCATTTGCCCAACAGAGAAGAGCAAGTTCTGTTAGACTTTCTTTGTCCGGTATACTCTATGTTACTTTTTAACATATTTGTTCAACTATCTGTTGACTTCTAAATTGTTATTTTTTTTTCATTTTTATCTTATTGTTTACAAGCTGATTTCTTTGCCTTTTTTTTTGCTAATTCAATGCATGTTTTTCAGATATCAAATCACCACGTGATATAAAGTTTATGGAGGCATTTGGTAAGTATTTATTTATTTAGTTGCTGTCCTGTTTATTTGTATTACCATTTACCATGTTCCCACACCAAGGAGTAAATACAGTGCCCTAAGAGAGAGAGATAAGAGAGCTTGCAATTTAGGGTTACCTAAGAGAGATAGAGAGAGGACTTAAAACCATTAATAAAAAGGATGAAAGTAAACATCTCTCATTTCTCATTTCTCATTGTTTCTTATATATGATCTTTGATGTAACTGGTATTCTGTCTTTGATTTTTACATTCGATAGGAATTACTTTCGATTACAAGAATGACTGGTATGCTTTATTGCAGAATTGAGTCCAGAGGAGTCTGAGGATGTTCTATTCAAGGAGGTATGGCCTCGTCTCTCTTTGTTATCTGCAGTTTTATCTCAATGATGTTTTCTGCCACTTCATCTGTAATTAATCCACCGAGCTCATGAATTTCTTGGTCTTGGTCATCCCGTTAAACTATTTTGTTTGATTGCTGGTGGCACTAACTTTATCCTGGCCCAACTAGATACTAGTTTTGTGTGTGGAAATTGCTTCGGCTTCAAATTTTGAAATTTCCATATTATTGTTTATTAATTTACTTGCCAACAAGTTTCAGATGCCTCTTGACCCCTTTTGCTAGACCTCTTGCCCTGTTGGTATAGTGTCGAGCTTAAGTATTGGATTTTTAATTTGTTTTCCTTTAAGCTGATTAGGCCAATTTGTTAAATGGTTCCTGGTTAAGCAGTGATCACCGTCATACAAAGTACAAGATTAAGATTAGCCTTTTAGTATTTTGTATGTCCTGTTTGACAGTTGGAAAAGGGAATATGACATTATGCGGTTGACTATTTATACAACATACTGTGTAGGCATGGCTTACATATTTTTGGAGAAGAGCCAAATCCCATGGCATCGAGGAGGATACAGCTAAAGAGCGACTTAAATTTTGGATCAGCTGTTCTGCACATTCTCCAAGCTCACATGATGCTGTTGATGGTAATCCTAATTTTATCGAGCATTGCTGTACTTTTTCCCAGCCTCTAAGCCATTTCTTTCTGTTGGTTTAACCAAACTTTGAATCTAAATTCAGTTATTCCCTTGATTTATTATTACTTGTGTTTTTACTTGTTCAGTTGAGGAAGGACTGATGGAGTTGCGGAAATTGGGAATCGAACATCGACTTTGGGAATCATCTCGTAGGACTTGAGTTGGCTGACTCTTTGAGAAAAATTGCTATATAGTATTTAGTTGAAAAGAGTTCTTGAGAGGGACTGCTATCAGATACATATTACACGGTTTAAAATTGTTTTTGCCCTCCAAATGAGGTGTTGCTTTAGCAAATAAATTAGTTTAAAGGAAAAGTAATAATGCTTCAACTGAACCATGTGTGTTTGATAGCCCATAGAACTGTGTATGGTAGCGGATATGACTGCCAATGGACAACCGGGTTATGTAGTTGGTAGATAAGGGCATTTTTAGCTTAAACCTTATTTATATTTACATTTTAATTAGTTAATTAGGAATGAAGATGAAGATGAAGATGAAGGGGAAGGGGAAGGGGAAGGGGAAGGGGAAGGGGAAGGGGAAGTGGGTGTGGGTGTGGGCAATTTGTCCCCTTCAAAATTTCATCACATATTTTAAGTATTTTTTATTGATATATAATTTTATAAATTTGTGTTTCTTTAAAATTCTATAAATTTATCCCCTTAATATAAATTTAAAATTATGTGTCCTTATAATCCTAACTTTAGAAAATCTAAATCTGAACTCTCATCAATAGTCAATGTTCTCGATTTAATATTTAATAAAACCCATTATCATATTTAATGCAAAGTTTATTACTAAATAGTTACATTTTAAGTATTTTCTTTTATGCATATACTCTCTTCTTTTTTGTAGTAAAAAAAATTTTCTCAGTTACGTCGGTAAAGATAATACACCTCAATTTCTCGGTTCATTATTTTTTAAATTAAGAGATGATTATAAATTTATGTAATATATTAAATGTTAATTGAGTTGATATTATTAATATTAATTGAATTAGAGAATAATTAAAAAAATGTTTTAAAGAAATATACATGTTTTTATTAAAATTATGTAATATATTAAATGTTAATCGAGTTGATATTATAGCATTTTATATTATTTTATTTTATTTAAATAAAATAAATTTAAGTTAATTAAAGATTGAAATGACAAAATAATATATATGTATATATTAAGCAATATACTGGTAGTGGTGTCTATAATTTACGTGGGACCCTTTGGGTCAAGAGCATGCCATTTACATAATTAATTCATCTTTGTTTTTTGAGTACAAGAGTCTTGCTAGTGAATTGTTTTGTTCAAAAAATGATGCCTAAATGTCCTTCCTCATATGCAACCCAACATGCATTCACTTGATTTCAGGGTGTTCATGCATACTAATCTATGCTCCAAAAACTTCACAAATATTATGAAATTAACTTCAAAATATGAGAAATATTGTGGAACTAATCATTATATATATATATATATATATATTTGGCTTAAATTGGATGCACATGGCTCTGCCTATTTAAAATTTCAAATTCAAAAAATCTAAATTTGTAATCTTAAATTCTAAATGAGACACATGAAATTAAAATATTTAAACTTGGTCTAGATTAAAGTTTACCCACATGCGTATCAAATAATTTTAATTTATGTTTTAGAAAATCTTTTTACATACAAATTGTGTAAAATTTAATCTTTACAATTTTATCTATTTGAATGTTATTTGTCTTGTTTGAGGATCAAAGATTTTAATTTAAAATTTAGAATTTAGAGTTTATGATTTATAAATTAAGATTTAACATAAAATAGAGAAAATTGTAGTCTAAATTTTATATATCTCGTATATCAAATAATTTCTCTTATATTTAATGAATTTGATAATAAAATTTTAGGGTTTATCGATGAATGAACAAGATCAAGGGTACTAAACCCCTAGGTGGTAAGTGCATCTCATTATTTTAGAAAAATGATTAAATTTAGTTTAATGTGTTAAGGGGGGAAATTACATACCCATTATTTTTAAGAAAAAAGATATTAAAATTTTAAATCTTATTCTTAAATTTCTAGATCCGCTACTAAACAATATTATTCTCTTTAAGCTCTCTTAATACATTGAATCATTTATGGTTTAATTAATTAGTAGATTACATTATTTGTTCCTGATTCAACTTAGCTAGACACACTCTCCCCTTCTACAAGCTTTGCTTGTCAGAATCTTTGGAGAAAGCATATATCATAGTAGAAATGAAGAGAAAGAAGTTGATCATTAGAAAAGGCAAATAGATATATAGAAGAAATAATGAAAACATATTCTAACAGAAAGTTCGTTATATAATAAGCTGGTGAGAGCCCACGATTGCAACTACTCCTCAGTGGGATCCTGAGTTGGGAGAAATCATCAGAAGTTTAATCTTAAGATCCAACAGATATGATCGAGTTCCATGTAGACCAATGATGAGTTGTATACTTCCAAGTGATGTTTCATTTAGTTATCTGAAAGGGGTTTCATCGTAATATCATAATCGGATCAAATTAGAATAATATTTAATTTTTAACGTTTTGTTTTAAGATTTTAAATATTATAATGTTGTTGATGAAAACAAATGAGTCACAGCGGTTATAACCCTTTTTGATTTGGATAACAAATCGTAGTTGGTGATGAAACGATTGTTGGTCAATGTTAATGTCTTATATCTTCATCATGAGATAGAAAAAGGATGAGTGAAGAGGGAGAGTCTTGATCTCTCCCTCTATCTTGATTGATAGATTTTATTATGACTCTTAATGTTGATAATAGACGTAGAGTCACAATGACTGTTTGTAGATTGGTGGAATAGATGGACTCAACTAATGTAGTTAATTGTTGATTAATTTTAGTTATGAGAAATCACATGAAACCTGTTAAAAGTCATATTAAAAGATTGTGACTTTCTAATAAATTTAAAACTCTCGAGACCTTATGTCTAAAAATATTATTACTCCAAAAATTGAACGTATAAAGATCATATAACAAGTACCATTCACATGTGATTCATAATGAATGACAACTATGCTCATGCTGAGTTTATGAGACTAATCAAAATCAATGCTTGAGCACTATAATCAGTGAATGTGAACATATAATTTGTCTTTTATATTTGAAGTTATTATTATTCTATTAAAAAATATTATTTCTATAAAAAAAATTAAAAAATATTATTGTTCAATGGACACTCATATAAAAGGCCTAGAATCATTATCTTCTTAGATAACAGCAATTCAAAATTACTCCATTCCATTCAAAGAAGACTAACACCTCTCCCTTTTATTTATGTTTGTGTGGGTTTAAGACAGGGAAGAATTGTAAAGACAAACACTTTATGTTGATGGATCCCAACAATTTGAAAACCAATTCGCCTTCTTCCACAAGCAAAACAAAGCAGCAGCAGCCACAAGAAACAAGGTTCTTGGGAGTAAGGAGGCGGCCATGGTGTCGTTACGCGGCCGAGATAAGAGACCCTTCCACGAAAGAAAGGCATTGGCTCGGCACGTTCGACACGACCGAGGAAGCAGCCTTGGCCTACGACCGTGCAGCTCGGTCCATGCGAGGCTCCAAGGCTCGTACAAACTTCGTTTATTCCTACATGCCGGTCGGTTCATCTGTCACCTCCATCGTCTCCCCCGACGAATCACAGCATGATTTTTTTTCCATTAATCCCCCTTTCCACCACCATCAAAACGAGGCAAACCGGAACCAGGTTTTCTTCTCTACTCAAGAAGACCCTTTCACTGCATGCCAGTTCCCTTCGGGGTGGATCCAAGAGACTAGCGATGGCACTGTCGAATCTTACAGACCCATTACCGGTGTTATGGACATCGGAGACGGTGGTTCTCAGCAGCTAGGCCATGACTCCGAGCTGCCACCATTGTCTCCGGATGTCTCCTCCTCGTGTTACGGATCCGGACTTGATATGAGCAATGAAGCATGGAATGAGATAGGCTTCTTCAGGTTCTCGGATCAAACTGCATTCGTAATTAACTCTCAGACGGGAACCACCGGGTTTGATTTGAGTTCATCGTGGGGCTACTTTCTTTAAATAACAAGGAAGCATAAATGATCAACAGCACTGCAACTACTGTAACTATAAAATTATCAACAAAATTAATCCATGTTAGTTTCGTCGGGGTACTGCTGTCAAATGGATGATTTCGGCTGGACGTAACAAGCAATGGCTTCTCTTTCGGTTGTCTATGGATTTGGGCCCAACCCAGGAAAATAGCTTGTTTCATGGTTACATGTTGTCTTGACTTCTGGTAAAAATGTGTAAGGGCCAGCTAATACGGTCCACTTTGGAGTGAAATGTAACTAGAACGTGATATGATTTCTACGATAACCGCGAGCAGATAGTCGTACGAGTTTGGACATGTTCTCTGAAAGTTTCTAAACTTTTGTTAGACAAGATAGATTGAAACCAGGGCTGGTTTTAGGCCTGTGCGGGCTGTCCAACCGTACAGGGTCTAATTTTTGTAAGGGCCTCCAAAATTTTTTAAATCTTTTATATGTATGTGTATTTAGAATATTTAACCCAAAAATTTTCAAGTCCAAGACTTATTTTACTGTTATGGTATATGATCACCAAATTTTAAAATATTAGTGAATTTCTTTATATATATAATATTTTAGTTTTAAAATGCTTATTTTATTGTTATGGCACAAGGCCACCAAAATTTACAAGACGGTCCTGATTGAAACCTGTCAGTTTTCTACTAATTCAGATTTTCAGATAATTTTTTTCATTTATCATAACTTTTCGTTAATCTACATTTAATTATCAGTCTACAAATAATCATAATGACTCTAAGACTGACCCACTCACTATAAATACTCTCCATCAAGACAGAAAAGAAGATGAAACTGCCTATAACAACATTCAGCCCTTGAATCTTCTTATTCCTCGCGACGATCCATTCGTGTTTTTTATCCCAACAATGATCCAAAACCACCACCTTATTGACCGTAACCCAAATCAAAATGAATGAATCTTCAATGATTAATAAAACACTTACAGTCATTATTTGAGTTCTAATCAATCAAATTTAAATGGTGAAAGATTTATATATATAAATTAATTAATCACATGTTAATATCAGGTTTATTTCCTTTTATCATCCAAAAATAAAAGGTTGTAAGGGTTTTAAAACAATCGTCCAACTATTTCCACCAAAAACAAAATTCAATTATGCTCAAGGCTTAAGGGTTTTTAGAAAATGAAAATATTTTAAAGACCAGGGACGTCCATTGTTAGAACCCTTCTAAGGTTTAAGATTTCAGAAATATCATAAGTTCAGATTGAATTGAAACACATCATCTCATCCGCGTTTTTCAAGGAACCAGAAACCCGAAAAAATGTACACCTCTGCTTTGAGTTTTCCTGATAAAAAAAAAAGTAAAAAAAGGGGTTTTGGGTTCTGTTTCCTCCTCCAAACTCTCGATGAACATCGTAGGAACATAATTTTGAAAAAGAAAAACTCGGTAAAAGATGGATTGGATATACTTAGGCTGCGGATTCCTTGGCAATCTTCTCTGCCTTAGCAGTGACCTCCTCTATTCCTCCAACCATGTAAAATGACTGCTCTGGAAGATCATCATACTTCCCATCCAACACGCCCTGCAAGAGTCGTGATTATTAGTGATTAATGCCTACTAATACCACACAATATACATTCCGTTGATAGGATTCATATTATCTGTCTAAACTACGAGTTGAAATGTATGTCAACCCGCAAACAAGGACTAAACATTTTCAATATATCTGGGTTACAGATCACAATGCATTTATTTGCTCGAATGTAAGCCAATATTATCCATTTGTCGCATAACTTAGCCACTTGTTTTAATAATGAAGAATATTATACAGCAGATCCGCACATTACAACTAACCACTCTCCCATGTATGCCACAACATACCATAATAGAAGCTGCGTAAAGAAATAAAAATTTGTACCTGGAAGCTGGTGATGCCCTCTTTCAACTCCACATACTTGCCAGAGGCACCAGTGAACACTTCTGCTACATGGAAAGGCTGGCTCAAGAACCTTCGGATCTTACGAGCACGAGCTACAGTTATCATCTTCACTGAGCTCGTCCATCCCCAAAATGGCAATGATATCTTGCAAGCTCTTGTAGTTTTGGAGAACCTTCTGCACACCACGAGCAGTATTATAGTGTCCCTCACCCAATATATGTGGAGAGAGCATACGAGATGTAGAATCCAAAGAATCTACAGCAGGGTAAATACCAAGCTCAGAGATCTGACAAAATAAAGAAAACAAGAGTTCTGAGCAAAGAGCAGCAGGTATTCATAAAGTACCATCAGATTGAGCACCTTCAGAAAGCATATAGATGTGCACAATACCTGACGAAACAACACAGTTGTAGCATCCAAGTGAGCAAAGGTTGTTGCAGGAGCTGGATCAGTCAAATCATCAGAAGGCACATAAATGGCTTGCACAGAAGTGATTGAACCTTTCTTGGTGGTGGTAATACGCTCTTGAAGGCCTCCAAGATCAGTAGCTAAAGTCGGTTGGTAACCGACAGCAGATGGAATTCGACCAAGCAAAGCAGACACTTCTGAATTTGCCTGGGAAAATATGCGCACAATTCAAACCATCAGCAACATGTAACACATAAAGTGAAGTGTTTCACAAGCTTCCAAAATATGCCAACTCACTTGAGTAAATCGGAAAATGTTGTCAATAAAGAGAAGCACATCCTTCCCTTCAGCATCACGGAAGTGTTCAGCCACAGTCAAACCAGTAAGGCCAACACGAGCAAGAGCACCAGGTGGCTCATTCATTTGACCATAGACAAGAGCACACTTGCTTTCAGCCTGGAATTATAAAAAAGCGGGGAACCACAAAGATAAGATACAACAAAATACAGAAATCTGGACGAGATGAATAAGATGCCTGGTATTTACCTGCTTGTCACCTAGCTTGATGACACCACTCTCGATCATTTCCCTATACAAGTCATTTCCCTCTCTTGTGCGTTCTCCAACACCAGCAAACACTGAGAAACCACCTATGTACAGAAACTAGTAATATAAAAACAATAAACAATTGCAAACTGTGAACCAACAGCAAATATAACATAATACCAACCATGAGCTTTATCAACATTATTGATAAGTTACATACTAAGCAGTCTTTCCTATACCAGCACCACCAAAAAGTCCAATCTTTCCTCCTCTTTGATATGGGGCAAGGAGGTCGACAACCTACAAAATAAAAAAAGATAAAAAGGTTTGGACTGACATAATCTCATCCAAATTCAGACAAAAGAATGTGTAAATAGAAGTTTGTCCTGAAACAGGATAGCATATTTCTATTAGAAAGAGAGAAAACAAGGATAGCAAGGGATCAAAGAAATACATAATTCCAAGCATTAATTAGTACCTTAATGCCAGTGACAAGGATCTGTTCAGTAGCTTGATCGACAAAAGCTGGTGCCTCTCTGTGAATGGGCAAGTAGTGGTCGGTTTCTATTAAAAAGTAGTCAGTCTGTTAGACTTGTATACCAGTATACAATACACTGTTCAAACTAATAAAATGTTGGCAAATCTCTTACTGAGTTCGCCTTTCTCATCAATAGGCTCTCCAATGACATTTATGATTCGACCAAGAGTAGCTCTACCAACAGGCACCTGAGGAGAATAATCAAACATGATTAAGAAGCTAGTTAAATTAAAGCACAATAGCATCATATCTAGACAATTGAAAACGGGAAATAGCTCAGAAGTAGCAAACTGAAGAATAAAGTAATGGATTTGAATTAGAGGCCTAATAACTTCAGGGAAAGAATCACTGAAAAGAAAAGTAATCTTCTGCTGGTTTGAACAAAATTTATCACTAATTCGAGGACATAACTCAGATTTATATTCTAATCAGATATTCATCTTAATTTCACTGTATCACCAAGTTCCAACAACAACAAAAAAATAGAACACTCAAAATAGGAGATGAAAATTACAGTGATAGGAGATCCAGTACAGAGGACAGGCTGCCCTCTAACAAGTCCCTCCGTTCCATTCATAGCAATGATCCTAACCATGTTTTCACCCAAATGCTGAGCTACTTCCAGCACAAGCCGGATAGAGTGGTCCATCACCTCAAGCGCCGTCAAGATAGGAGGCAAACCTTCCTCTGAATCAGGCGTTTATAGGTTTGGTCAACGAATTATTTCGCTTAAAAGCAAGATGAAAAAACTAAATGAAATTTCAATTTTGTACACTTACTTGTTATATTTTCTTTAGGAAAGGTATTAAAAGCAAATTAATTGTAATTTTACTAATTCAATTCTTTTGTAAATTGGGAGGGTTCGATTAAAATATATTAAGATTATAGTTTAAAATTTATCTTTTATATAAATTCAATTTAAGTGTGTAATTACACAATTAGAATATATTTTTAACAGTGGTCGATTAATGACCCGAGTTGGTGGACTTGCGTCCATAATATTAGCATTCATCTTATGTTATTTTCTATAATTATATCTCAGCATTTGTATTACTTTTTAAGGCAAATTATATTAAATATTATTGAATTTTAAGCCATATATTGTTTATAATTTTTAATTGTTTTACTTATAATACTGATTTTGATTTTTGATTCAATTATATTTAAGAATGACTATAGATCGGGTCGAGTTTTTCACCCACCTGAACTTGACTCAAAAATTAAATTTCTCCACCCGTACTCGATTCGACCTAATTTTTTAACTTAAAACTCTCACTCAACCCGACCTATATATATAATTCATTTTTATAATATACAATAATGACCTAATAGAAAAAATAAAGTTGAAAGGAATAATATTCTAATTATCCCTAAGCATATAAGAGATAATTATAATATTATGTCAAGTCAGGTTGGATTTTTCACCCTAACTCATACTCGACTCGACCTGACGCTTTAAAAAATCGACATAAATCAATTTTTCAAAAAAAAAAAAAAATAACTTGACCGGATCGGGTAGGGTTGGAACCAATCGAATCAAGGTGAAATGCTCAACCTTAATTATTTCATTGGGCCGTTA